AGAGATTGAAGATCAACTCAATGAAATAAAAAGAGAAGCCAAGATTATAGAAAAAAGAGTGAAAAGAAATAAAGCCTCCAGGAAATATGGGATTATGTGAAAAGACCTAATCTACATTTCATAGGTGTACCTGAATGTGATGGGGAGAATGAATCCAAGCTTGAAAACACTCTGCAGGATATTACCCAGGAGAACTTCCCCAACCTGGCAAGGCAGGCCAACATTCAAGTCCAGGAAATATGGAGACCACCACAAAGATATTCCTTGATAAGAGCAACCCCAAGGCACATAATCGTCTGATTTACCAGGGTTGAAATGAAGGAAAAAACCCTAAGTGCAGCCAGGGAGAAAGGTTGGGTTACCCACAAAGGGAAGCCCATCAGACTCACAGTAGATCTCTTGGGAGAAACCCTACAAGCCAGAAGATAGTGGGGGCCAATATTCAACAACCTTAAAGAAAAGAACTTTCAACCTAGAATTTAATATCCAGCCAAACTAAGCTTCATAAGCGAAGGAGAAATAAAATCCTTTACAAACAAGCAATTGCTGAGAGATTTTGTCACCACCAGGCCTGCCTTACAAGAGCTTCTGAAAGAAGTACTAAACAGGGAAAGGAAAATCCAGTACCAGCCACTCCAAAAATGTGCAAAATGGTATAGACTATCAGTGCAATGAAGAAACTGCATCAACTAACAGGCAAAACAAATAGCTAACATCAAAATGGCAGGATAAAATTCACACATAACAATATTAACCTTAAATGTAAATGGCCTAATGCCCCAATCAAAAGACACAGACTAGCAAATTGCATACAGAGTCAAGACTCAATCTGTGTGCTGTATTCAAAAAACCTATTTCACATGCAAGGACACGCATAGGCTCAAAATAAAGGGATGGAGGAATATTTATCAAGCAAATAGAGAGCAAAAAAAAGGCAGGAGTTGTAATCCTAGTCTCTGATAAAATGGACTTTAAACCAACATAGATCAAAAGAGAAAGAAGGGCATTACATAATGGTAAAAGGATCAATGCAACAAGAAGAACTAACTATCCTAAATATATATGCACCCAATACAGGAGCACCCAGATACATAAAGCAAGTTCTTAATGACCTACAAAGAGACTTAGACTCCCGCACAATAATAGTGGTAGACTTTAACACTCCATTGTCAATATTAGACAGACCAACGAGACAGAAAATTAACAAGATTATCCAGGACGGGAACTCAGATCTGGACCAAGCAAACCTAATAGACATCTAGAGAACTCTCCACCCCAAATCCACAGAATATACATTCTTCTCAGCACCACATCACACTTACTCTAAAATTGACCACATAATTGGAAGTAAATCACTCCTCAGCAAATGCAAGAGATTGGAAATCATAACAAACAATCTCTCAGACCACAATGCAATCAAATTAGAACTCAGAATTAAGAAACTGCACAGCTTCATGGAAACTGAACAACTGGCTCCTGAATGTTGACTGGATAAACAATGAAATGAAGGCAGAAATAAAGATGTTCTTCGAAACCAACAAGAACAAAGACACAATGTACCAGAATCTCTGGGACACATTTAAAGTAATGTCTAGAGGGAAATTGATAGCAATAAATGCCCACATGAAAAAGCAGGAAAGATCTAAAATTGACACCCTATCATCAAAATTGAAAAAGCTAGAGGAGTAAGATCAAAAAAACTCAAAAGCTAGCAGAAGACAAGAAATAACTAAGATCAGAGCAGAACTGAGGAGATAGAGACACAAAAACCATTCAAAAAATCAATAAATCCAGGAGGTGATTTTTTGAAAAGATCAATAAAATAGACAGACTGCTAGCCAGATTGATAAAAAAGAAAAGAGAAGAATCAAATAGATGCAATAAAAACTGATAAAGGGGATATCACCACTGATTCCACAGAAATACAAACTACCATCAGATATTACTACAAATAACTCTATTCTCATAAGCCAGTACACCTGGAAGAAATGGATAAATTCCTGGACACTTGCATCCTCCCAAGCCTAAACCAGGAAGAAGTTGAAACCCTGAATAGACCAATAATAAGTGCTGAAGTTGAGGCAGCAATTAATAGCCTAACAACCAAACAAAGTCCAGGTCCAGAAAGGTTCACAGCTGGATTCTACCAGATGTACAAAGAGGAGCTGGTACCATGCCTTCTAAAACTATTTCAAACAATACAAAAAGAGGGAATCCTTCCCAAATAATTCTATGAGACCAACATCATTCTGACACCAAAACTCAGTAGAGACTCAACCAAAAAAAGAAAACTTCAGGCCAATATCCAT